TATATATATTTAGTTGTCTAGATAATTTCTTTCTATTTTTAGTAGAGACGGGGTCTCGCTCTTGCTCAGGCTGGTCTCGAACGCCTGACCTTGAGCGATCCACCCGCCTTGGCCTCCCAGAGTGCTAGGATGACAGGCGTGAGCCACTGCGCCCGGCCGTCATCGCACATTTTTATGAAGTACAATTTGATGTTCTGGTCCATGTATGTGATGTATAATGATCAAATTAGGGTGTTTAGCATGACTACCACCTCATGCATGCATCATTCTTTGTGGCGAAGACATTCAAAAGCCTTTGCTTGTATTTTTGAGAAATTGATTTCCTTCTGCTACAATAAAATGTTATGAAATCAAATGGGCTAAACATTTACGGGACCAAAAAGAGCCCCTTCTGTGATCTTTAAAACCTTCACTGGAATCTGCCATTTTGGGGAACAATGCAGCTTGTCTCAGCTCTGTGAGTAAAGGCACGACTGTATGAAATCCTGGCCCAGCTGGGTCAAGATGGGCAGAACCCAGGATGTAGCTGTGTGGGGCAGGGAGCACTGCAGGAAATGAGCCTGGAGAAGTACAGAGAATCGGATTATATAGGGTATGGTTCAATTTTGTTTTCAATTGAGCAAGTATCAAAGAGGTATTTTAAGCCGTGAAGATGCATAGTGATGTGAAATGATTTTGCATTGAGAAAATCTCTGGGGCGTTAACACACGATGCATTGGACGGGTGAAGGCCACGAGCCTGGGCACAAGGGAGCAAATATCTGCAGTCACCCTGGGAGCAGGGTAACGCCTAGGCAATGACAGGGGAGGAAAGAGAAGACGTCAAGTGTTCGTAAAGGCCTCTCAATTACTGTCCTTAGCTCTCATTTTTTTTTTTTTTACTGTATCTCTAAAAATCATACTATATACACATTTCCCTAGAGTCCCAAATTAACTATAACCCCCAAAAAACTTAACCAAAGCAAGATTCACTTTTATTTCTGCCTGATATACATCATTGCCACCAACATTCTTCTGAATTTCCAGATTTCAAAGCTCGAAATAACGAAATGTCTTTGCCATTATTTTCTATTGATTTTTTTAAAATTTAGCAGTTTAAAAAGATCTATGTTTTGTCATACTCATATCATGATACTGAATATCTACTGATTGAAGATTATTTATTATTGTGGGTATAATCCTGGGTGTTTATTTTTTATTTCATTGTAAGAAAAGCACTAAGCAGACAGTAGTTTTAAAATTCATTCTGTGGAAGTCAGTTAAATTGTAAAGAAATTCAATCATGTATTTTTTGTCTTGGATTCTTTCACAACCCACCACATTAATGGAGCTATATCAAGCTTTTTCTTAATATTAACATGCTAGATGTACAATTGTGTATATTGAACAAAATATACACATCCAAGGACAGAGCAAGTCTGCCACGCAGTGGTGTGCGGCCTCTGCCTCTCTCAACACTTTCTTAGTGATGTGAAGATTAGCTTGAAATACTTTTTTTTTTTGAGACAGAGTCTTTTTTTGTCGGGCTAGAGTGAGTGCCATGGCGTCAGCCTAGCTCACAGCAATCTCAAACTCCTGGGCTCAAGCAATCCTACTGCCTCAGCCTCCTGAGTAGCTGGGACTACAGGCATGTGCCACCATGCCTGGCTAATTTTTTTTCTATATATTTTTAGTTGTCCGATTAATTTCTTTCTATTTTTAGTAGAGAAGGGGTCTCACTTTTGCTCAGGCTGGTTTTGAACTCCTGAGCTCAAACAATCCGCCCGCCTCAGCCTCCCAGAGAGCTAGGATTACAGGCGTGAGCCACTGCGCCCGGCCAGCTTGAAATACTTTTGCCGCTGACACTTTCCCAGCAAGGGTTCTGGCTGTGAGTGGGCACTCTAAATGAACTTGTGTAAATACAGTTAATGGTAAAACTCTCTTCAAAGTAGGCAAACTAAATAATAAAGGTCCTTTTGTTTGTTTTAATGACACACAGAAATGATATGGCCTTATTATTTTTTACCGAATTAAAATGTTATGTTGACAACCCAAGAGAAAATTTACATTTTCAGTTCAAATGTTTAGACATAGAAGAGTGCCTTAAAGAACAAGTATGCCAGATATTGAAACCAGAGAACAACTCCTCAGTAAGTCACGAATTCCTCTATTAATATTTGTATGAATACTATGTACCAGGTACTTTCATTTATTTTAATCCTGCTTGTGTGTTAGGGCATCCGAATTCTCTGCAAGAAGAATATGTAAAAATATTGACACATCTCCAAATGAAATACCAAATACAGTCTTATTCAAAAGGTAGTCAACATAAAGGACCAACAGCACTTTTTTTGTTCCTTCATTTTAAAGATAGGATTAAGTGTCACAATGTTACATGAAATTGTAAAATCCTCACATTGCCAGAACTATTTTGATCCCTCTATATGATTGCATGCCAATTCTTAGAAAATGGAGAAGCCTGAGGGAGGTGCTAGAAGATGCCTCTGGGGAAGTGACGCAATGAGAGGGAAAATCAGGTCTATGCGAGCCAGGTGAGGCCTATGGGAAAAACAAGTACTAAGAATAAAGCTGAAAACAGGAAGGAAAAGAGAACAAAATAAGATTGAGTGCAGAAGGCCTGAGATGACTGTAGATTTTGGAACGCAAATGGAGATTGCAGAAGGAGGGACAACACACAACATGAAGAGATCTGAGTGGGTGCAGAGCCTTTGGGAGGACACCCGACCACGCTGGCTCCAGCCTTTCCTGACCTTGCGACCGACCTGAAGGTTTCCACCCACAGATCCCAGCACATGCAGTATGTCCAGATCTTAGGACAGTCTCACACACTGTTAATTTAACTAAATCAAGGGTCACTGAATTTTGCTTCACCTCACCTTTATGACATTGATTGCTAGGATTTTATGAATGAGTGTGTTTGGTGAAGAATTTGAACATGAATAAAAATTTGGGTTCTCCTGGGGAGGCAACTCACTTCCCTAAATATTTGTAAACTGAAAACTTACACTCGATGGCATATAAGGACTGTTTTAGAGCTACTTTTTTTTTTTTTTTTTTATCCTGACTCTGTCAGGGCAGCCTGGAGCCCTAGGGCTAAATTTTTATGACTGTTTTTAAGCAGTGGATAGAAGCCATTTAGTACGTGATTGTTTCTGTGAAGTCATTTTTAGCTATATATCTACCATCTGGAAGATATTTACATTTATCATAAAGCCTTCAATAAATATTTTAATAAGTTAAAATAATTTAATCATTTGGAAGAATGTGTCTCTTTTTTCTCTTCTGCCTCATTTTTAGCATGCAAGAGCCCAGGACTTAAGGGGAATGATGGCATTCCCAGGATGTTGTGAAAAACTACATACAGTACGATGAATTTAAAAAATATATGCAATAATTTTAATAATCAGGCTAAGGAAGGTTTACACTTGTATCATCCTATATAGTGTTCCAAAAATTTTTTATATACATTATCTGATGTTTTTCATCACCAAAGTCACATAAAGTTAGCAGAGGAGGTAACAGATTTTCCAAAAAAAAAAAAGAAAAAAAGAGAAAAAGCAAAGAAAAAAGAGTTTGTCATACTTGTTATACTCACATGTGGTGGTCAAGGTGCACATTCTCCAAATAAATTCCAGCTTCTTTGTCCTCTGGAATATAATAATCACTCTCTGACTCTGAGCTGTATCACGACATTTCCTTGTTTCTGTCTTCCAGAAAAGATTCAAAAGCAGCTACTCAGATAGTCCAAATGATGCACATCTCCAAAGACCTGTGCATCCCATAACGTTGTGGACCTTAAATCCCACACCCACAGAGGGTTCAGTCCCCTGACTTCAGCTATGCATAGGCCATGGCCTCTTTCAGACCCCTCCCAGGAAACTAAATCTACAGGGACGCCCAGACTCCAATTAATTTTGCCAATATTTGTCATTTTTATTTCCTATATAGTCCTAAATGGTTGCCTACTTTTTGTTAAGAGGTAAATGTGTTAATGA